CCCAATTCTATACGATTATTTCTCTTTTCCCCTTAAACGCTGTCATACAAAAACGAAAGAAGAAAGACGAAAATGGGATGACGTGTGGGAAAATGAGGAACGAGAATAGGAGAAAGGAAAAAAGAGGAGACATTTCTATTATATTCTGTCCTCACATCTCGCTTACTTGTCGTCTGCTGACCAGTTGTTTGAAAAGACAATATGGCCGACCATCAATTCTAGGACTGTCAGCGTGTTCGTAATTATAGTGTTTTGTGACCAATGTGAATCGCTTTTTCAGGTCAAATGCGAAGATCCTTATCACTCTTTCGTTTTTATTTTTCACTCTCGCCCTTTCAGGCAATCGTTTTCTAGTCGTCTTTTTGATCATTTGTTCACGAATTCTTTTGCGAAATCGATAGTCATTTCTTCTTCTGCATTCTATGGTTACGTCCCGCTGTCTTCAAGTCATTGTTTAGCTTGTTATCTCTCCTCTACAAATATTTCGTTTTTTTTTTCTTTCTCTTCGGCTTATGTTTCCTAATACTGGAAAACTCTTTTGCGAATTCATTTTTATTACTTCACAAACCAAGTTTCATTCGCTTTCAAGTTCTTTAATCCAAAGAATTCTTGTGTTTTCATTCTTCTGTCTGGATTATTTTTCGTTTGCCTTTTTTCTTTCATATAATATCGTTGTTTATCGTCGGACGAAATCTCTGATTCATTCGCGCGTTTATCATGTTCATTATTCTATATTTCTTGCTTAAAATTCTTATTTGCTTACCGATATCTTTTCTTTGTCGGTGGGGTATTTCCAAACTCTGAAATAATCTTTTACCTTCCCGCAATGATTTATTTTGAAATTATCATATTAACGAAATGGAAAATTTAGTAATGAAGACGGAAAATGTGGCACAGAAATTCGAAAGTGCATTGGATGCACGGAAGATGCCTTCCAAAAAATTAAGTATAGAATTAAGATATTAGAAAATAGCGTTAAAACATGTAGAATTCCGCATTAAATAACCCCTAGATGTGTTGATATGCCGCTAAACGAAATCAATCAACCAACCAGTCTGTAGCTGAAAGCATACAATTGCATTTAAAATACATTTAGGAGAAGCCAGAAAATTGTGTACAAAATATTTAGATTTCGGCATTAAATAACCAAAATAAAAATTCACAACTATTTACACTATTTACATTGTTAGGATTATTGTCGTCATCTTTATTGTCATATTCACGACATTTTAGCCGTTGTGTTCCTAGACCTTTTAAATTTTATATTCGTTGAAATTTCGAACAGAACCCTTTATTTCGTCCAGCGGACGTCGTGAATATGACAGTAAAAATGGGGACAATAGTCCGAACAATGTAAATAGTGGAAATATTTACAATAACTCATCTCAGAAATATCGACAGAGTCCTAAGAAGGCCAGAGTGTATAACGGCCGAAACGTTCTGAATATGGCAATAAATAAGAAGACAACAGTCCGAATGATGTAAATAATGTAAATAGTTACAATACCTCATTACAGAAATATAGACACACCCTAAAGAATGCCGGAGCTTAAAAAGGTCGAAACGTCCTGAATATGACAATAAAGATGAGGACAACATTTCCAACTATGTAAATAGCGTAAATAGTTATGATATCTCATCTCAGAAATATAGACATATCCTGAAGATGGCTGGAGCTTACAACGGCCGAAACGTCTTGAATATGACAATAAAGACGAGGAGAACAGTTCCAAATGTGTAAATAGCGTAAATAGTTACAATACCTCATCTCAGAAATATAGACAGGTCCTGAAGAAGGCCGGAGCGGATAACGGCCGAAACGTCCTGAATATGACAATGAAGACGAGGACAATAGTGCGAAAAATGTAAGCAGTGTAAATAGATATATAGCTTATCTCAGAAATATAAACAGAATTTTGAATTGTTATTTAATATTTGTCATCATATATGAGAAAATGTGTGGTCAATTTCCTCAAAGCTGAAACATGAAGATGTGGTTCTACTATAGATCTTTATAGAAACAAAGAAGAGCGCGCGTAACTATGATGCAATGTCGAATCTGCTGCATGGCAGTGAATACTGGCCAATTTCCTTAGCGATGAAGTTGAAACATGATGCGTCAGAAATGTGGTTCTAAGAATAATCAGGAAGTATTAAAGAAAATAAGAATAACAAAACATCTGATACACAGAATAAGAGAAGGAAAGATGAATTTTCTGCGACAAAACAAAGAAAGTGGGTGTCGAGAAATCAAAACTCTCATGACAAACTGAAGTTAATCGAAGCAAAGGGAGAAACGAGTAATTTACGTAAGGAGTTTTGTTTTGGTTTGAACAAAGAAAAAGTTGTATAGCAAATAATAAAAATTACTTCGATCAACAAGAGAAGGTATTTTATACTATTGTTCACTGCAATGTCTATATTCCATCGAATGAAGATAACGCTATCAAAAAATATAATGTCGTTTGGAGTCGGCGTAGTTTTGCTGAAATCTGTAGTAAGCAGACGATCTAGATACCTACGATCTCTCTCTTTCTCTCTCTTGAGCTCCCCACAAAACGGGATGTGGCACAAGGCCGGTTTAAGGTGGGACTTTCCGAGCGCGTACGCTCGGGTAAAAATTCCACGTAGACTCCGCATACACTGGGTCGGGTGGCTGTCTACCTCCTCAGACGAGGCTATGCCTATGGGCATAGCATCATCTGAGTTCCTCTCCGCCCGAAGGCAGAGAGTCGACAACCAAAGCTTTGCTGTACTCTAAACCATTTTTAAGCGTAGATTTTATGTAGTACAAAGCATGCAGTGAAGATCGAACTCAGTCCTCAGTCGTAACTGATCTAGCTTGCTAACCATAACGCCACGTCGAAGTGTCCTACTTGACCCCACCTCTCTCTTCTGAGAATGTCGGCGTCAGTATATATGTATTTGGACGAATCCAAGCCCTGTTCTGGAGAGGTTGATCGTCTCCACAACAGTCATTTAACACAAGGCTCATCAGCCACTCAAGATAGAGTGAACTGAATGTGGTTGTTTTAAGTTGCAAAGAGAGGAGTTAAGAAGTGTATATTATGAGGATATGTAGAATAGATAACAATGGAACATAGGACGTTAAGATTATGATGATCGGAAGTCTGTTCCAGAAAGTCATTGGGAAGAAGTTGTGGGAATTTAATTTGCTCCTGGCCTCCACAAAACAGGAAAAGGGAATGAAGATGAGTCGAGCTTGTGTACGTGCCATAATGACTCTCAGCTGAAAACGTCTAAATTGGTGGAACCAAAGGATGAAGTACGTCTGAAACTTTGCCATGAAATGGTCATAGAATAGCAAGAGGCTTGCGATGTTTCGTCCGTGGGGAATGTCATATCTATCTATCTATCTATCTATCTATCTATCTCATTCTTCTATCTATCTATCTATCTCTCATTCTTCTATCTCTCATTCTTCTATCTATCTATCTATCTATCTATCTATCTCATTCTTCTGTCTATCTATCTAATTCTTCTATCTATCTATCACTGACTGTATGTCTCAATGTTCAAAATATATCTATAATAATTATTAAAGTATTCACAGATCTATCTATCTATCTATCTATCTATCTATCTATCTATCTATCTCATTCTTCTATCTATCTATCTATCTATCTATCACTGAATGTATGTCTCTATGTTCAAAATATATCTATAATAATTATTAAAGTATTCATAGATCTATCTATCTATCTATCTATCTATCTATCTATCTATCACTGACTGTATCTCTCTATGTTCAAAATATATCTATAATAATTATTAAAGTACTCACAGATCTATCTATCTATCTATCTATCTATCTATCTATCTATCACTGACTGTATGTCTGTATATTCAAAATATATCTAGAGTAATTATTAATGTATACACAGATCTATCTATCTATCTATCACTGACTGTATGTCTGTATATTCAAAATATATCTAGAGTAATTATTAATGTATACACAGATCTATCTATCTATCTATCTATCTCAGTCTCTTCATATCTATCTATCTATCTATCTATCTATCTCAGACTATTCATATCTATCTATCTATCTATCACTGACTGTATGTCTCAATGTTCAAAATATATCTATAATAATTATTAAAGTATTCACAGATCTATCTATCTATCTATCTATCTATCTATCTATCACTATCACTGACTGTATGTCTCAATGTTCAAAATATATCTATAATAATTATTATAGTATTCACAGATCTATCTATCTATCTATCTATCTATCTATCTATCTATCTATCTATCTAAATACTATGTAATTGTGATATCTATCTTTATATCAGACTATAATAATTATTAAAGTATTCATAGATCTATCTATCTATCTATCTATCTATCTATCTATCTATCTATCTGTCTATCTAAATACTATGTAATTGTGATATCTATCTTTATATCAGACTTAGGTATATCGGCATGAAGTAGGTAATCGCGATCACCTAGAACTAGCTTGGTAGAAATTAATAAATATGTATTTATTTATACATGTATGTGTGTGTGTATGAATGCTTGTATCTATATGAACTTTCGCTATTCGACCATGAGACCCAGATTCGAATGTCAATTTGTTAGCGATGGGACTTCATGATGTTATCAACGTGGGGAGGCGATCCTAGCGTGGGGTACATTTGGAAATTGCCTGAAAACCAAACTACCTTTTCTACCAAACCTTTCGAGTGAAATTGGACGGACGCAACTATTCGTAAGCCGTCTATGATTTTTCTAGAACGATAGCACATGTCATCGTGACCGAGGCGTTTTAGAGTACTGTCTTTTTTTTGATCACGATAGAGTATACGCGTATGACAGAAACTTTAACTAGGACCAGCACTGAATAGTCGCAATATAAACTATAAGTTGGCTCCGATCGTTTGAACACAACAAAAATGTGCATGAGGAGGTATATGCGATAGGAATTTAGCTAGCTATCTAGAAACATGGTGTACCCGGTAAACGAACGAACGAACGATCTATCTATCTATCTATCTATCTATCTCAGTCAGTTCACTATCTGTCTATGTGATTTCCTTATATAAGTTGGTATCAGATAGATATGAACAGATAGACTGTTAGCTAAGTAGCAACTTATATGCGAACAGTGTACATTAAAATCAATAGAATGATAGCTCGAACAATCAATTCATAGATAGATATGACTAAACTGAGATATATACAAATATATTGTAATGAGTAAATAATTCAAGCGATAAAACTATGTGATATATAGATTAATAAACAGCTATCTTACGAGATCAATAAACTGTGAAGTAACTAACAAGGCATTTTGAGAGAGCGAGAGAAAAACTGAGAGAAACAAAAGGAGCCAGAAAAGCATCGATATTTAATAATAATCGATATCTATCAGAAAAAAAGGAAGATTAAGATGTGAAGATTTTATATTATGCTGATCTGCATTCTTACTATTGTTTTTGGTTGTCTGGTTCAGATAGAATGATTGTGAATACTGCAATTTTGAAAAAGAATGACAAAACGGACCGGAAGTGCTAATCGGGATTGATAACTCAGATAAGAATAGAAACGGCTTCAATTCACTCGATATGACTCATGTAGCTTTGTTTACGTTCCTCTTTTCGAAATACTGTGCTAGCTTTCGAAAAATGGCGTCATTTTTTTTTGTTTCCACAATACGTAAATGTTAATTAGAATCCGGGGAAAAATGTTGGAGTTCGTTCCGTTCTTTCTTTTATTCACAGTATTGCGTTCCTCTTTTAAATCCTCATTTATTCATCCATCATTTAATAAACTCGGTCGAGGTAAAAAAATATTTCCAGCATTATTTTACCGACCCATCCCTGTAACATTACTCCATCTCTCTCCCCACTCTCTCTATCTCTCATTCTTTCTCATTTTCTCTCTGTCTGTAATTTTCCCTATCGTTCTCCCATGCCTCTATACCTTCTTCCTTTTCCTATTTTGTCTTTCTAACTCTCTTTCTCTCATTCATTACTTTCACGGTCCTAGTTCGACAAGAAGCCATATTGAAACAAATGACTCTTATATTTCTGTTATCCATTATGAAATGGACAAAGTCCGACAATTAATTTAAGACATTTTTATGTCTATACGTTCTTTTTATAGATACAATTATTTAAGTAAATGCTTTGTTTATAATAAACAGTATTAAACAACATTTACCGTCCTGAATGCCGGTGAACTTTTCATAGAAAATATGCATCCTCCGACAGGAATCGAACCTGTATCATACACGGAACCGTCATATAGCCTGATGTGCTTTACCAATTTAGAGGAGCGGTTCGGTTAGAAGGTCGATTTTACTGTTTTTAAACTACAATTCTCCATGATTTACATTTGTTTACATTTGGATACGCATCGAGCAGATATGAATGTACGTGAGAAAATCATGTATATTATTTTTTTTGTATTTAGTGAAGATTTGATATTTAATTTGTTAATCGAGACATTCCCACAATTTTGACCTTATGCCCACCCCCACTTTTAACTTTCGGAAAAGAGTTAACTATTTGTTTTTAAATTTCCATAAAAAATCATTTATCACCAATTAGAAACCATTGCTTGAGGAAGTACAATCATCCTCTTGAAACATGAGAGCTTTTGTATAGCGATTTAAAATATTTTTATTATAATCTCTTAGAAGAAATATATTATAATAATATTTTGTTCTAATTTGTATTGAGCAATTTTAAAAGAAAATGCTATGAACTGTGGGCTTTTACTCCATTTGTTCTTTCTCTCTCTCTCTCTCACACACACACACACACACACACACACACACACACACACACACACATATATATATATATATATATATATATATATATATATATATATATATATATATATATATATATATATATGGCCGAGTGGTTAGAACGTTTGCTTTTCTGACCATCAGACCCAAGGGTTGGAATCTCGCCATGGTCGATTTGTGAGGAAGAAGACTTTTCTGATGTTATCGGACTGGATCGAGGTTCGATTCCATCGTGCGGCACCTTTGGAAAGTGCCTGAAAACCATACCACGGTTTGATCCAAGCCTTGTGCGTGAAATCGTGTAGACGAAACTCTGTCGATAGCTGTGCTAGACGAAGCTACAACTCATCATGGCTAAGGGCTTGAGCGTGCTGGCCTTGTCCAAATTGTTGATAACGCTAGATAACACGCTATTTCCCAGAAACTGTAACTAAGGTCCGCTCAGCATAGCTGTAGTATAAAGAACAGGTGACAGGTTGAGCAAGCACAAATAGGAGTTGACTAGCTGCCCTAGTAGACGGGTATCCTCGAATAAGAGTGACCAGCTTATATATATATATATATATATATATATATATATATAATATATTTATTTATTTAAAAATATGATTCCATCGCTACATACCACATCGCCGTTACCATAGTAATTTTAATATTAATAATGAATATGCTTATAAAACGCGGAAATTTCAGGAATTATTATTCCAAAAAAAAAATTCACTTGAAGATGGAACAGAGCTTGGTACTTTAATTCAATTTGATTCAAATAATTATATTGAAGTTTTCGGCTCTTGTTTTGAAACATGAGAACTCTTATGTAGCGATGGAATCATATTTTTAAATAAATAATTATATTTAGGCTCTACTTTTGTATCGAGCACTATTTTTTTTTAAATTAATAAACAAAAATACTAAAGAACTTTGGATTATTTACCTAACGAGTTCTTTCCTATTTTCTATATATTTTTACACACACACACACACACACACACACACACACATATATATATATATATATATATATATATATATATATATATGTATATCATAGATTTGAAGCGCAAAATGATCCTGAACGGCCGCATGACGGCACGCACGCACGCAGGCAAACACATACACACAAACACAGAGAATACAGAATAAAATTTGAACCAGTGATAAATGTGCATAAAAAGAAACAATATACGCAGTAAATTGCTGTTAACCCCTGAAGAGTGGACAGTCAGGTCCGTCTACGAATCTCTGAAGTCGGTATGTTGAAGGTAAAATCCGTCTGTGACAAACTTTTACTTCAATTAATCATATATATATATATATATATATATATATATATTGAGAGAGAAAAAGCGATAGAACGATGAAGTTGGTGGGGGTGTTGTCGAAGATTGAGGACATTGACTATTTATTACTGTGATTTTTCCCCCTGTTGTTTCTTTATTTGACGCGCTTCTCTTCTACTCCCCCCACCTGGTATTGCGTCCTCCCAACTGTCCTCCCCAATCGAGCCAATTCCCTCCCCAATACAGAGGCTTGACGTTCTTTCGTATCCTAGACAAAAGTCTAATATCAGAAGTTCCTTGTCATTTTATGCCTCAATAAAGCTGACATCGTTTCTTTATTAGGTAGCGGAAAGATAAAAAAAAGAAGAAAAAAATCAATGAAGGAAAAAAAAGAAAAAAAAGAAGAAAAAATTAAAAAGAAAAAAAAAAGAATAAATTAATGAGAAGTTAATTTAAAGAAATTTTTCGAAAATTAAATGAATAAATGTAGTCGAATGACATTAATAATTGTAAGAAAAAGAAATTAGGATTTACAACCACAATATTAGCACTAATTCTTTTTAATATAATTCACCCCAAGAAAGGCAGGCACTAACACAAAAGGGTTTACTTGATGTGAAATAATTAGAAAACAGAATCATTCCTAAGGAACGAGAACAACAGACTAGGAATCAAGAAGACTTTAGATAACGACTGACATTGCATTTATATTTTTAAAGATTAAACTTAACCGAAGAGCAAAAATCCGATTTAGTTTGTTTTGGTTTGTTTTAATTCGGCATATCATTGTTTTAATTCGGCATATCATTGTTTTAATACGGCATATCATTGTTTTAATTCGGCATATCATTGTTTTAATTCGGCATATCATTGTTTTAATACGGCATATCATTGTTTTAATACGGCATATCAACCTCAATTGGTTCTTATTTCAATAATTAAATGCGTTAAATGGTTTTCTTAAGTGAACATTTTATAGTACATGAAATAATGGTGGTGAAAAAGAGTAGATGCCCAACATAACAAAGAAGAGATTGCTGAATTGTTATATAATATTGGTCTTATTATATGACAGGGAATTGCGGCAAGAGACGCATGAAACGTTTGGTTTGGTTTGTTTTGTTTTACAGAATATCAACCTCAATGAGTTATTTAATGCCGAGAAGATTTTTATTACGGGTAATATTTTTTCTTCAAAATTTATTACTGGTAATATTTTTCCTTCAAAAATGTATTGCTGGTAATATTTTATCGTTAAAAATGTATTACTGGTAATATTTTTTCCTTCAAAAATGTATTACTGGTTTTATATTTTTTTCGAAAATGTATTACTGGTAATATCTTTTCTTCAAAGATGTAATACTGGTAATATTTTTTCTTTCAAAAATATATTGTCGGTAACATTTTTTCTTCTTAAATGTATTACTGGAAATATCTTTTCTTCAAAAATGTGTTACAGGTAATATCTTTTCTTCAAAAATGTATTACTGGTAATATTTTTTCTTCAAAATCTATTGCTGGTAATATTTTTTTCTCAAAAATATATTGCTTGTAATAATGCATTCCTGGTAATGATTTTTTTCTTCAAAATTTCATTGCTGTTAATAATCTTTTATAAAATTAAATTACTGGTATTAAAACCTATTTTTACATAGCGTTTTGATCTCAGTTTGGGGGGTTAACTATTTGCCCATAGCTTGGACCCTAACAGGTGCTTCCACCCCAGGTCAGGGTGGATTTGGGAACACCAGTAATTAAGAGGTGGTTCAATGCTTCTCAAAGCCTCCTGATCAGAGCCATTGCTCCCGGATGTAGTTTATCGTCTTACCCAGGACGCCTCGTTAAGGCGGGGTCCTTACCCCATCTGTAGAGGTGCAGTCAGCCTATTCTGAAGCCCCAGCCGACAGATTGTCAAGAATCCGGAAGAGAGTTCTATAAATAAGAAGTGGAAGAAAAGAAAGTGTTAGCACAGAAACTACGGCCAATTCAATTATAAGTCGATGGCACCTAATCTAGTTTTTTTTTTCCTTTTCTGAGCTGTGTCCTTTCAGAGAGTAGTTGATAATAGCCATCCACATCTTCTTGTCTTTATAATACTTCTGTCCTTTTATTTTCCCAAATCCTGTTCTATCATCCATTTACTCAAGCTCACCAAGTAGGTTACGCGCTGCTTTCTTTTTTCCATCTTGCCCGCAATCTGTCCTATGTGTATCAGATTTTCCAAGCCCTCTTTCCTAATTACCTGCAATTGAAATATCAAGTGCCTCTTCATGATGTTAAGAATGTTTTTTTTTTATTTGCATTATCTCTAAAACGTCGTCGTTGCTCACATGTTCGGCCATGGTATCATCAGTATCCTTCTGTAGAACCACATTTCTGTTGCTTCAAGTATCTTCTTCATCTTTGAGAAATTGTCCAGCATTTGTTGACATATCGGAGGACTGATATCACGTAACAGTTCAATCCTCTTTTCTTTGTTTCTAACGATTGTTTTATGTCTCTTAATACTCTGCTTAGCTTTTGGAAGGCATCTTTGGTCATCCCAATACGTATTCGGAGCTCAGTGTCGCATTATCCGTCCACTGTTAGAAAACTTCCCATTAAAATATTGGTACTTGTTTGATTTTAGTATCTCCGATTTGTAATTTGAATTTTAAGCCCCGCCTTTTACTGATAACAATGCATTCTGTCTTCTTGTGGCTTATGCTTAGTCCTTTCTTCTCGCTTTCTTTCGTTACCTTCTGTATGAATGTTTGTAGTTTCCTTCCCGTGTCTCTTACCAACACTGTGGGCATCTGCATATCTTATGTTGTTAAGATTGTGGCCGCCAATACTGTGCTTAAATTCATAAAGTCTTGGTACCATATTAAAGAGCACATTCGAAACAGTTAGCAATTATATGAACATTTTAAACATAACAATGAAGACAGGCCTACTGTTGAAAAATTGTTAGAAACATTGTTTTTGTTTTAATTTTTCTTTTCTTAAATCTTGCTCTTAAAGTGTTGAAAATATTGGAAGAGTTAGGTCAGCCTTCTTCTTTGATAATAATAATAATAATAATAATGATGAGAAGAAGAAGAAGGAGAAGAAGCAGATGAAGAAGAAGAAGCAGATGAAGAAGAAGAAGAAGAAGAAGAAGAAGAAGCAGATGAAGAAGAAGAAGGAGAAGAAGAAGAAGAAGAAGAAGAAGAAGAAGAAGCAGATGATGAAAAAGAAGAAGGGGAGGAGAAAGAAAGCAAAGAGAGGACAATGAAGAAGACGAAGAAGAAAGCGGTGACGAAGAAGAAAGCGGTGACGACGAAGAAAGAAGGAAAAGAAGAAACATAGCAAAGATGGCGACGCAAAGGAAAAATAAATGAATGTGACAAAATGAAAGAAGACAACGAAAAAGGAAATAAAGCTAAATTATGATAACACTGATAATCAATACAAATTCGAAAAAAATAAGACAAAAGGAAATGAAAAAAAATGTAAGCAACGAAATCAAAAAAGAACTGTAAATAAATAAATGATACAAATTAAAACATGCTGAAAACGTAATGAAAAATATTTTCCAGGATTCCACACATTGGCAATAAAATGGGAGACATAAGGTGATGTAACATGGAAATTACAAGCGAATGTATTTAAAAAAAAAAGGCCCTGGCCAGGGGCATTTGGAAACGAATGGCCATGTTGCTCACCAATTTCAAACTGAAAAGCAGCGACGGCGTCCTTGCGAAAAGAACTTCTCGCAAACTCAGCATTTCCGACTTCCTTTGAACGCTTCAGAAAGTTTCTTTTATTTAAACACCTAATTTTTTTCTTCGTTCAAGCAACAAATCGAATCACTCTTTATACGACCCGGGAAATGTGTTCACGTGATAGAGAAGCAGATGGCAAATGACCTGATCATAACTAAGTGGGATTTCATTGACTCGAAGTTGGCCTTCCTTCGAGTTGTATGATGAAGCCAACCGTAAGATAACTTATTTTAATTTAAATTTTAAAACTGTATATTATGCTGTTCTTCTTCTTCTTCTTCTTCTTCTTCTTCTTATTATTATTATTATTATTATTATTATTATAGTAGTAGTAGTAGTAGTAGTAGTAGTAATAGTAGTAGTAGCATTAGCAGTAGTAGTAGTATTATATCTTCTGTTTTAAATCAGATACAAAATTAACAACGTCTGCAGCAGAAAGTTAACAGTCAATGGAAGGTCGTCGAAAACCCTGGTAAACAACAAAATAATCCTTTAACATCAAGATTATTTTTTTTCTCTGAGGGGGAAATCAGGCAGCGTTTTGTCAAATTATAATAAAGAACTAGAGATAGACATGGCGTAGGGCCATATAGCGCTGAAACACCGATTCCCGTACGATAACCGAAGTTAAGCAACGTCGAGCCTGATCAGTACCTAGATGGTTGACTGATTGGAAATGCCAGGATTGATGTGAGTGTGTTGTAATGTATAACGGCTCAGAATTCTTAATCGGAGAGCCAAGTTAAATAAATACCCGAGGGTGAGGTATGAATCAACCTATTCTCCCTCAGCTGTGGGCTAGTGTTTCACTAAATCATTATTACCCATTACAATTCTTACAATCTAAACATATTGTCTGACTATAAATAACATTCAAAAGTTTGCTGTGCTGTATAAATTAACAGGGAACTGGTGTAAATCAACTTCTCCCCTTTGCTATGGGTTAATTAGTAAGACTTGTATCCCTAAAAAATCATTATATCCAAAAATGACAAAGAAAGTTACAATCTAAAAAAATCTGGCTTCAAATAACATGCAAAGGGTTTATAGGCCGTAAAAAACGAATTTATCAATCAACAGATATAGACGAAAACATTCGACATTCATTGATCGAAGAGCCACTGCCACTTAAGGCTGAAATTTATAAAATCTTTCTATCAAAAAAGTTTTCAGGAGAAATGTTTTCTCAAATAAACTAACTGTAATCGCTATTTCTAATATCGATGGGAGTTTCCTTCCTAACCTTTTGCTTAAAGTAGTATTGAACATCGATATCATGAATATAATATGTCATTATTTTCCATTTTGGTTGTTGCTGGTGTTGAAAGTACACAGGTGATGTGGTTTGTGTTATTTGCTACAGTTCTTTTGTGCTACTCCACTGGGTTCGAAGAAGGACTATCCACACTAAGACCTACTGATTTCATTCGTTCGAAGCTAGTTTTTAATCATCGATCCAAAGAATCGGCTGAATACAGATATTTTAGACATTTCTGAACGATTTTCGCAGCTTGCATGAGAGGCAGTCACTTTGACTGCGTTTAGCGAAACAAATTGTATAACGTCATCCTCACAGACCTTCCTGCGTCTTTTCAGGCCTGAGATGTATTTACAGCTCCCCAATATATATATATATATATATATATATATATATATATATATATATATATAAATATATATATATAATTTAAATAAAAACAGACCACTTTAAGGTTCCATGTAATAAATTATTTCACACAGCCCTTTTTTAGGACTGCGGATCATCAGACTTTTACTTCCAAACAAAAAATGAAAAGGTTTTTGTTTGGAAGTAAAGTCTGATGATCCGCAGTCCTTTAAAAGGGCTGTAGTGAAATAATTTATTACATGGAACCTTAAAGTGGTCTGTTTTTATTTAAATTATTTGCTCTAGATTTACATTGAGCTCTCTGGATTTCATCCTCCTTAGGTTACCCATACGGATTACCTAGTTTTTCATAAACTAACTAGCTATATATATATATATATATATATATATATATATATATATATATATATATATATACAGGCGCAATACCAAAGTTGTCCAAACTGCTGATGATCCCTCTTCCTGTTGTGACCTACTAATCCAATTTTCCCCTCTACTTTTCCCTCTTTTTTTTTTTTTTTTTAACTTATTCACCATTCTTTTGGTGGTTCTTGAATGGACTTTGAAGAGGGAAGCCAGACTATGTATGTTCTTACCATTACTGAAGGCCTGAATGATCGTTTTCCTCTCACAATTGCTCAGTTGAGAAGGCAGTGATATTGGCACAAAATCAGTTCTCTTTTTAACTGAATAACTCAAAGGGTTTTTCAGTGATTCTTACGACAAATTGTATCAAGATAGCTAAACGTCTTATATGAAAACCCGGAAAAGAAAAAAACTCAATTTGTCTTGTGTTTTTTTTAGTTATTAAACATTTTGTGAGATGGTAAATTATGCTGTTACACGATTTGGACAATTTTGCTGTTACATCCGGTATATATATATATATATATATATATATATATATATATATATATATATATATATATATAATAATATTTTTGTTTAAAAATATGAGTTCTCATGTTTCAAAAATGAGAGCCGAAACCATCTAAATAATTGTTAAAATTAAGTTGAGGTGTTAAAAATAAAAAAAACTAAGGAACTCCGATTATGCACCCAACGTATTCTTTTTCTATTTTCTGCATACCTGCGCACCTATATATATATATATATATATATATATATATATATATATATATATATATATATATATATATATATATATATATATATATATGTGTGTGTGTGTGTGTGTATATATATAATCGTTTATTTGGGCAGCAATTCCTCTTTTAAACATACAGAAAAAATATTAACTTTAACATTTTATATAAAAATCAAATACATAGAAACTTTAACCAAGGTGAATCTTCCCTTAGAAACACTATACAGATATATACAACTCCAGTCGACAAAAAGAAGAATTAAATTATCTATTATAAAATATCTAAAACTGCTAATCTCATTGTCAAAAATAATAACCCACCTGCAAGATCCAAATTACAGAGAATCAATATTATTTACGAATTTATATGTCCCTTATATGTCCCTTAAGGAACTGTGTTCCTGACCAATCCAAATTCATAAATAATTATATTGGATATACTACAACATGTTTAACAAGAAAACTCGTGTTATATATATATGACCATAGCTCAATTACATTTGAATACAAATGGAGACCTACTAAACTCTATCCGTAACATACTCGCTAATAATACAAATATAATAGTTCCATCCACATGTACAGAAAGGCTAAAATAATGGAAGCATTGTTAATAAATTAATTATTTATTAAAAAAATTTAAAACCGCTAACCTAATCGTCAAAAATTATAATTCACCTGCAAGATCCAAATTACAGAGAACCAATATTACTTAGGAATTTGCATGTTCCTTAAAGAACTGTGTTCCTGACCAAATCAAATTCGTAAATAATTATATTGGATATACTACAACATGCCTAACAAGAAGACTCACCTTACATCTCTGGCCATAGTTCAATTAAATCTCATTTAAATACACATTGAGACCTACCAAAATCTACGCGCAACATACTCATTGATAATACAAATATAACCACAGTACATTGTCAGTCGTTTTTAATGAAAACTATATCATTATTTTCTCTTCTGGCAACATGCGCTATTCATTTTAGTTATTACTGCTGTTGAAAGTCCGTAACGGTTATTTAGTGCAGTTCTTTGATCGTGATTCTGCAGCGTCAGTCTGAACTGCGATAAACCTAGATGCTTTATAAAAGGCCTTAAACGTAGGACACCAAATGGAAGCCCAAATCAGAAGCGTTCCCAAAACACGAGAAACGAGATTAGGCGAATTACCAGTATTGACTCCCCAGAGAAAGTTTGTTACTGGAGGGTGTGAATAGACTTAAGAAGGTGCTTTCGAGGCGACGTAATGCCACTCAGTCTAGCAGGATAAACACGAGACGCTAATACTAAAAATTACGATGACAATATCTGCCCATGAGCAATTTTCAAAGGGACAAATGATTAAAGAAAACAAATAATTACATATTTCATTCAAATGACAGAAGCAGAAATGGAATGATGAAAACACATGAAAAACACTTTGAGACAACATATCTCGCTCTCCTGATATATATATATATATATATATATATATATATATATATATATATATATGGCCTGACGATTGCATAAAGCATGAAAACAGACTGTCGCCTCTAAGTGTTGACTTCTATGTTCCCTTTTATATTTATATATATATTTAAATGATTAAATTAAACAAATAATTACATATTTCATTCAAATGACAGAAGCAGAAATGGAATGATGAAAACACATGAAAAACACTTTGAGACAACATATCTCGCTATCTCTCTCCTGATATATATATATATATATATATATATATATATATATATATATATATATGGCCTGACGATTGCATAAAGCATGAAAACAGACTGTCGCCTCTAAGTGTTGACTTCTATGTTTCCCTTTATATTTATATATATTTAAATGATTAAATTAAACAAATAATTACATATTTCATTCAAATGACAGAAGCAGAAATCGACTGATGAAAACATGAAAAACACTTTGAGACAACATATCTTTCTTTCTCTCCCTATATATATATATATATATATATATATATATATATGGTCTGACGATTGCATATAGCATGAAAACAGACTGTCGCCTCTAAGTGTTGACTTCTATGTTCACTTTTATATATATATATATATATATATATATATATATATATATATATATATATATATATATATATATATATAAGTAGCGCATATTTGTGTGTATTGTGTTTTAGCGCGTATACATATTTACATGCATGTATATATGGTTATTATATGTATATATATTTTCGTTACTTGTTATATGTATTCATTTGTTAGCGCATGCGCGTACACCCTCGCACGCAGCCTCTCACGCACACGGAAACACATATATAACACAGGAGTAATAGTTTATGAATACAAACAAACGAAGCCCCACCTTTGAGAAATGACGCTTTGCAAACAATATGTAATCAGTTCGTTTTCACAAAGCTTGTATTTTTGGCGGATTAATATTTGATGCTTCTGTTTGGAAAATGTCGTACTGTGAGGAAAATAGGTTACTAATGAAGTATAGAATGAATTGAGCAGTTGTTTGGGGTTTCAGAAAAAAAAAGTCTCTTGTGCAACTTACGACGGTAAACATAATTTATACATTTCCACTCGGGAACTCAGCACACGCTACACTGGAAGCCCGAATTTATATAAGCTCAATTTTTTTTTGTATCACATCAAAGATAATATTGTTCACCCGATGCAACGTTAGCCTAGCAAAAAATACACGAGAGATATGTTAGAGAAATTTGAGCAGTGTTACAGCTTTTTACATAGTATTGATTTTGCATAAAAGATTGTGCCAGTGGACTTATGGTGAAGATATAAACTGATATGAATCTGTCTATATTTCTGTGATGTGGTATTATGTACACTATTTACATAATTCGGACTATTGTCCTCATCTTTGTCGCTATATTTATTACAACGTTTCGGCCCTTCAGTATCTGTCTATATTTCTGAGATGAGGTATTATGTACACTATTTATATTATTCG